TGCTTTTCTCCCCTCAGAGGTGATCACACACTCCGATCACATTTCTTGCAGCAGTACTATGCAGTACACGTGATGAGCCATGGACAGAAAACTCCACGAAGGGCAGCATCACTCCCTTCCTCTTGCCTCCACATCAGTTAATGTGTTCCCCTGACTGACACGTTTAGAAGGATGCACTATGGGGCTCGCAATATCCTTTTGGATAAAGGATAAGCAAATAGAGCTCTCCAAGCCTGTCAATAAAAGTATCACTCTTCAGCCTTTGAATAGATAACATATATAGTTCTCTACTATCTCTTCTCACTTAACATCCTTTTTAAAACCTGGGGAATTGAATTGTATATATGATTCCTGTAGTACCACAAAAGGTGCCAGAGGCAAAAATCTCTACTATAACACTAGTATTTTTACTAGACTACCACACCAAGACTTCATACCTGATTTCTTGCCCAGTACTCCCTTCTTCCTTCTCATTTTATTTTTCCAGAGTGCCTGTGATTGAGGAGACAGTCCCTGCTCAGTAAGTCTGACCCAAATATCCTTCTCCTAAACGACACAACTACTGTGAAAGCCAATTACTGCACAGTGGGTTCTTCAGATCTATATCTTCCCAAAATTCAATATAGGTGCTGGAAAGTATATCAGAAAATAGATTAATAATGGACAGTCTGAGTCTTGGTGTGCTTCCCTGGGATTTACGCTTAACCTCTGACTCAGTTAAAGGCTGTGGAGGGACCATACACAAAAGAGGTGCTTTAATTCCTTTCCCATGCAAATTAAATCCCAAATGGATATCCAGTATCTGCAGGCACCACAAATTACAACTCAGGGAGTCAGAGACAGAAGCCTCAGTGAAGTTCCTGGTGTCTGGGCATTGCAGCCTCCTAAGGGGGTCACTCAGGGGAAAATATGACGGAGGTGACTGGAAGCAGAAATAAGGGAGAGATGTTGCCCTTGAGAAAGCCTTCTATCCACATCCCAGCACTTTTATTAAAGAGCACCACTGCTGCAGAGAGAAAGAGAGGTTAAGCTGTTAGAGCAGAGAAAAGCTTCGTTACGGTTCCACACCCTCAGGCATGCGAAAACCAATCTGCACCTTCCAGAGTTAGGCCCATAAAGATGGGAGGAAAATACATGTGAAGCAGTGAGCTATTAGAAGACCAGATAAATAGTTCAAACAGAGTTATTTATTGGTGTGGTTGGATATATTCCTGCAGCATGGTTACATATCTCCTCCTTGCTATTATGTACCTGTGCAAGTGGTTAGTATTTTGGAAGCAAAAATCCCTGCATGGCTCTACAATAGAAGGTCAGGATGCTTTTCTTTCAGGGTCTCTGCTTAAAGGCTCTTTTACGCTACAGAGTCTGAAAAAGAGGAACAGCTGCCTTACTCTGCTTTGAAGATGCGTCTGGATCCATCACATAGAAGTGCCTTACTAATATATTTGACAAAGACTTGTGTTTGGGGGTTCATTAAAACCCCCAGTAAAAAAGAGTTTGGGATTGTGAAGACAAGGAAAATAATAATAATAATAATAATAATAATAATAATAATAATAATAATAATAATAATAATAATAGGAATAAGGCAAGGAGCCCAGAGCCTTATCTTTGCATAGACAATTAATGCATAACCTGAAAAACTCCTCAAAGACCAGAGTAGGCTGGGTCCTCATCCCCCTGCAGTTACTAACCACAAAAGAAAAGCAACAGAAAAATGTGTTGCAGAAACTGTCTATAAAGTCTGTTTCTTGTTCCCCTCTGGAAAGTCCTACAGACCGCAGTAAGGATGATAACAGTATTTGTCAAAATCAGAATAAGGAATGCGATCCCTCTCACTAAGCAAAAAGAGCGCTCAGCCTTCTGCATAGGGGAAATCCCTTTCCCCCTACAGAAAGGGATATTTCAAGGTGCTGCTTCCCACCCAACCCTAATAAAAGTGGAAACCTCCCCGACCTTTCCCAGATATCTCTGGAACTCAAAATGAATTAGAAACTCTACAGGAAAACCATAACAAAACAATATCACCATGCAGTATTTGCCTCTAAAGCACATATTAAGGAAGTATTTTCAAAGAATGCTATTGCTGCCTTGAAAAAGAATACCCCAAGCTGTTCCCAGCAATGCAGACAATCTCTTTACTCAGTCCCAGCCATTCCAGAACCTATTACAAGGATGTCCAGAGAGGTTAAAATGCTGAAGGACTACATCACCTGACGGTGCATGAGTACCTCCTTCTGTGCCTGGCTTTACTTCAGGCCTGGGGACCAGAGGTTGGAAAAGCATGGATTTTCTGTCTCACTGTTCACAGACATGCCCAGTAAATGTTCACATTATAGCAGTGTTGGAAACTGCTGACAACACATTAAATAATAGTGGCCAAGTGCTTTAGGATCTTCTGTTACCACAGTAACTAAATATCTCCCAAGTTTTGAAACATCGGCCCAAGTTCCTCCCAACTATTCCATAATAGTTTATTTTTTCCTGGCAACGACCACATGGTGGTGGTGTATCACCGTGAGTTGTGTTCAGGCCTGACTCCCAGGAACTGAAGAGTTGGTTAAAGGAGCTGGATATTTACGGCACAGCACATTTACAAGGATGCTTGTAGAATGAACCCTTTAAACCCACTTTACCTTTGAAATTATACTTATTTCTTAGCTGCCTTGCTTGCAGGGCTGTGTGGTTTTCCAATCAGGAATCTCCCGGAGTATTTTGAACAACATAGGCATCACTCAGAAGTCCAAGTGCAGAAGTATTTGAAGTTACATGCCATTTATGTGTCAATCTGGTTCATCTCAACCTGTATTTTTTTATTTTTATTTTTTTAATTAATCCTGTGATACTCTATCCACTTCCCAGAAAAAGTGTTTCTGAGATCTCTATTAGAGTCAAGCAAGGTTGAATGGTCATTGTTCTGAATTTGTTCTTAAAACTCTTCTTCCACGAAGTTTTTCAGCCACCCTTCACCAAAGACAGGTGCTAAAAAGAATGTGTACTGCATTGTCATTGTGCTTTTCAGCCCATTCACAATATAGGCCTTAAATTAGCTGCTGTATGTCCTTGACTGAATGTAGACAGTGACAGCCTGATCTAATACTCAGTGAAGTCAATGGGAGCCTTTCAGTTTTCCCTCATTTGGCCCTGAATCAAGTTCAAAGTTGTCTGGTTCAGGAACCAGATCTTCTGTGTTTGTACAGAGATGATTATTCTCCAGTATGGATGTAGGTTACAAAAAATCCATTAGGACTTTTGGCACAAAAGAAACTATACGTAACAAAGACAGCATGTCTCAAACCAACAGAGAGATTAGCTCCCATTTAATTGGTTTGAAACAAGGGCACATCATCAACAGGGACAGGAGAACTGGTTTGGACTTAATGAGAAATGCATCATTTCCCACTCGCAAACTTTTACTGCAAACTCACCCTGAACTTTTTGAGTCAAAACTATTTTAATGACCCTTTTCTTTGCATTGTCATAGGCCTTTCTATCTTAATGTTTTGTCAGGGATCAGAGAAATTTATACCACCACTGCAAGAGGGCTCTTTTTGCCAAGGGAGTCAGTACATACAGGAAATATCAGATATGTCATTAAATATTGTATTCCTATATAATTTCTTGACCAAATGTACACAGGCTCTGACAGTTCAGATTGGCCACTCAACATTCTGACCAAAAAAATCCTTCTGTGCATTGCAAGTGTAGTGTGCTTGGCATCACAACCCTCTTTTGGTAAAGGCAAGTAACAGCATGCCTTCTTAAAATCTTTGGAACTTGAGAAAATATTAACCCACATCCACCTATTTCAAGCATTTATTAGATAATTTAAGTCCTTGTGAAGATGCTACTTACCCAGGAATAACTGAAAATCCCCAGATTTTTCTTTTTTTTCTTGCTGCTGAATATTCGTGGATCCACCCAAGTCCCCCTAATACAAAGGACTTGGATATCTACTTCCTTTTTCCTGACTTTGGGGCCAGCTCCACCAGTGTTTAAAAAAAAAAAAAACAAAAACACAAAACTTATTGGATCAGCCCTCTCTGGAAGGCGAAGTCTGGAAGCCCTCCTCTTGAAGCTGGAGCTTAATGAGCTAGAGTTCTTACTGAGCTCTGGTATCTTCAGGTTTGTTCACCTGCTTTGAAGCAGGTCTTCAATCAGTCTTCCAATGCTGAGAGCAGATGCTGAACCTGGCCACTAGAACAGTTTGAGGAGGTCTTCCCTGTTAAAATTTTCTTATACAAATTCTCTAAATAGTCAGGAAAAATAACGTTTGAAATATCTATAGATATTTCTGTGGCTATTTTCCCAAAAATACAAAGAGCAAGTGGGTTATTTGGTATGGTTAGAAAGGATGTATCACTCTGAAAACAAATAGTTGTGTGAATCAGATCTATTAAGGCCCCCTCTAAGCCGTATGTTGCAAATCAGGTCCATTTATCCTCAGTCACTTAGCCACAAAAATAATTTTACAAAGAAGAATATGGCAGAAATTAGACCAGTCATTTCTGCACCTACTTTTTTTTTTTTTTTTTCTCCTGGAAACTGGCAGTCTGTGCTAGAGTTTAAGTTCAACCATAAGCACTAGCTGTACTTAGAAGGTATGAAACATTGAATCCTCTTACTGAAGATTTCTCTCCGTTCCCTCAGTGTTACACTCTTGGCTCTTCTCTGGGCATAATGTGACCACAGCAACATTCAAAAATAACATGAAATTCTTCCAATGCTTGTACTACACTAATCCAAAAATATAAATAAGGGTGCTACTTGCAATGAATACTCTCCTGAAAGTCCTTTAGAGCCTCACTAACAATGACAACTTCAGAGGTGCAGGCTTGGCTCTTGGCTTTTCTGGGAATGACAGAAAAACAACATCTTGCCTGGAATTACAAAATAAGACAAGTTAAGGCAGGATGAGATGCCCACTCCTCTGCTTATTAACCTTCATAAACACAGGTTGAGATAATGTTGAACAAAGAAGAGATTTCAGAGTTCCTTACCTGCATAGCACCAACAGGGACATCCTTTCTTTCCCTTCCTTCCCCTGGCACCACAGACACACATCCTATCCTCCAATAGCCTCTCCAGGCAGAAATCTTGCATTACACTACTCTGCTTCTTTGGTGTGAGTAGACTGAAACTTCTTCTTCTCTACCAATTTACCTTCTGGTATCTGCTCAAAGGAAATAACTCTGTGTGTTTTATTTTTTATTTTTTTCCTCTGCTTTCGCTTATCACTGCCTATTGTGCTTATCAGGGACTGGATACCAAAGGTTCAGTGATCCTTTAACAGTGTGGGTGGAGGAAAGAAGTGGAACCAGGCAAAACCTGTGCTTTGATCCTGAATGAGCCAAGGACAATTCACTCAAATCACTTGACCCTTTGTGCCAGAGGCAACTCAGCTGGGAAATTGAGTGAAAACAACAATTTCACTGCAGATCAAACCCAACCTCTGAGCTGAGCTCTCCTGGGCCACTGAGTTCCAGTGCTTGAAACAGCTCATTTGAGCACAGGATCTGATTAAAATCTGAATAAGGTGGTGGAATTAACATAGTTAGTTCTTTATAAAAATGCTCGGCAGGACTTAGGCTCAGAAACATTGCTTTGTCTGGTCAAAGCTAATCACAGAATTGCAGACTGGTTGAGGCTGGCAGGGCCCTCTGGAGGCCCTCTGGTCCAACCCTGCTCAAGCAGGGACACCCAGAGCAGGGTGCCCAGGACCCACATGCAGGCAAATTTGAAGATCTCCAAGGACTGACTCCACAGCCTGTATGCCTGTATGGACAACTTGTGCCAGTTCTCACTCAAATCTTTTCTGCTTTTCTCTATAATGTCTAACTCCATCTACTCTTTTCTTTTCACTGAAGGTTTTTGTTTGTTTGTTTGTTTGTTGATTTTTGATTTTTTTTTTTTTTTTTGGTGGGCACCTCTAGATATCTCATTTAGAAGTATAAATTGCTGCTTATTGGTCAAACCTGGAATAACATCATGGCAGCTTCCTCTTTCCTTCAACCATAGGAAATATTCCACCTAGGACTGCAGACCACAGAATGGTTTGGGTTGGAAGGGACTTTAAGATCACCTAGTTCCAATGCCCTGCCCTAGACAGGAAGGGACACCTCCCACCAGACCAAGTTGCTCAAAGCCCCATCCAGCCTGGCCTTAAGCACCTCCAGGGATGGGGCATCCACAGCTTCTCTGGGAAACCTGGTCCAGTGCCTCATCACTCTTATAGTAAACAGTTTCTTCTTTATATCTAATCTAAACCTAACCTCTTTTAGTTTAAAACAATTTATCCCTTGTATTGTCACTACATACTCTTCTAAAAAATCCTACCTCAACTTTCCTGTAGTCCTCCTTTAAGTACTGGAAGGCCACTAGAAGGTCTCCCTGTAGCCTGCTCTTCTCCAGGCTGAACAACCCCAACAGATGTGCACATATGGATTAATATTTATGGGGCTTTTCATACTGCCAACAGGAGTTTTTCTCTCACCTCTGGGCCCAATAGGAGAAGAAATATATATATATAGAGAGAGAGAAGAATATATAGAAGAAAAATGGTTAATTGAAGTCCAGTGCGCTTTATGCCATCACATGGCTGTGAGGATTTTTCACTGAACTTCAGCTTCTCTGTTAAGAAGTGGTAAGCCACTGTTTCTGGTCAGGATACATTTTGATGTACATCTACATCATCCTACTCTGATTGCAACCTATAGAGATTATATTGGACTAAGCAGTTAACCCAGCACTCTTTCTGTCTTTGCCGCAGCGTACTCCTGTGTTGATGACAACAGCTGTTCACACCACTTATTTGCCATCAAAGAGATGCACAGAGCATGATTCCCTTGACCAAACAGAGGTGCCTCTAGTATATTGACTTCACTTTAAAGTCAAAGATAGCCAAGGACAACCAAAATGAAGCTTTATAGACTTTAGCAGAGGCTTGTAAACCCAAATCCCACGTGTTTTATAGGACTCACCTGGACTAACATTTGGTGTCTCTGATACAAGTGTCTGTATCTCAGGTACTAAGTGGTCCCTGGGTGGTCAATGGAGATCTAGTCAGTACAGCCAACAGGTACTTTGATGTGGTTCATCCAAGCAAATGTAGGCATACATGAAGGTGAACTGCACCCTAAACAGCATTGAGTCTGTGAAGGGAGGAGCCCAGGGTGACTTTTCACCTGTAGATAACCCCATCCAGACACTGTCAGGTAAGTGACTAGCAGAAACACATGAGTCCCCAAACTGAACCAAGCTCTGGAATACCATATGCATTCCTTTATAGAGCTGTCAGTCAGGAATGATAGTGGCATGCTTCAGAGTGCTCAGGCATATTTATTGAATGGAGTCTCAGTAGTTTTGAACAAACCTGTCCTGTGTGACTGCTATAACATCATTCAGAAGGAAGACTTTACAGGATCTAAGATGTAATATTTTTAATGAAAAGTAGATACGCACAGAAACTACAAACACAGTCTGTGGACTTTCTTTTCTGTGGTAACCTCTTTCTGACACTGTATCACACATTAAATATATTATCTAGAGACTGGAGATTGACTTCAGAGCCCTAACTCACCCCCAGCTGAGCATTGTGTGCTCCTCTGTGAAGTCCCTGATGGCCCCCTGGATACAGGGTCTGAGCTGAGCAGTTGTTGCTTTCCCTTTAACATCCTGCTGGAAGAACTCCTGCGCTCCAAGCCATTAGACCGTCTAATAGGAGTAATAAAGCTGATATCAGGTACATTTATTTTAACTATACAATAAGGCACAATGTTAAAACTGCAAGGTGCCAGCTCGGTTTTCAGCAGTACATAATATGTCTTGCATTTTTTACAGTAACCAGCAAGGCATAAACATGTCAGAGAAACTACCCAGGATGCAGAAATATTCCTTACAGAGCCACTTAAGGAAAAGCAGACACCATTCTTTAAAACCAAGCATGCACAATTAACAAGAAAAATATTGCCAATAAAAAGGGGAAAGATGGCCAGTAAGTAAAATTAGATGGGATAGTTCAGGGTGTGGGTTTGGCAGGAAAATGACAGCTAGAAGTAAGAAAAGCACTTTCAAGGGAACCAGCATGTGTAGCTGCAGCTTCACAGAACATTGTTATGTGCAAATGGAGCTTTACAGAGGCCTCTTGGCTGAAGCACATGGTAACTGTATGTCAGATAAGAGTGGAGTGGGATCCCAGCAAGTTATAGATTTGTCTTTGTAGGGGAAAGGATTTTTGTTGTTATTTATCTCTGGTGAATGGTCAGACCAGAAGGTGTTTAGGTGTCCAGGTTTCAGAACTGGGATCTAAAATCTAATTTGCCAGAGTTCCTATCAATTTGCTGCATTCACTGTCTGAATATTTCTGAGGATCTAGACCCAACTGATTTGGAAAAGGTCATGAGCAAGCAGTAAAGAGAGTCTGGGAATACAGCCACTCCACAACATATATTGTGGTGTCCTTTTTTTTTTTTTTTTCTTTTTTTTTATTAGCCCTCTTTGCTCATGCATTGATTGGCTGGCACAGTTACCCACAGTCTTCATCTGATCTCTCTTTTGCTCTCTTTTGCCAGAACCAGAGGTTCTGGCTCACCAATTGTCATGAGACTCCCCTGAGGCAGGGAAACATGAACTGTCCTATTGGGAATTAAGACTCAGATGCACATAGACTTAAGGATATGTTGTGACAAAACAAGCAATGGACTGTACCCCATGCTTTTGTTTAAAATCCTTTGCAACCATATTTTCATCACCTCATTTATAAGTATTAAGTATAAGTATAAGTATTTAGAAGTATAGATTATCTATAGTCTCTAGATTGCTTCGTTAATAAACAGCTCAAATTCAGAGGGTTCAGCTCAAAAAGCCATCCATATGGGAACATTCAATGAAATCCAAGGACTTTGTTGCAAACAGCTGGCAAATATACAGAACTGCAGGCAAGACTGGAAGCAATACAACAGTGAGCACCACAAACTCAGCATGGATTTGTGTCTTTTATAATGTAAATGTCCTCAGTGCTTTGCAGCAAAAAGTAATAAATGTTTTACAACATTTTAATTGAAAGCCCATAAAACTGAGATGACTGGAAAGAAAGAATCCACGACTATATATTCAGTGTTGAGCAGACATAGAAGCAGTTTTTCATCAAACTCCATCGTAAAACATACATTGAAGGAGTTGATCTGGAAAATCCTTGAATTGCACAAAATAGGCTTGGAAGAGACCTCGAAGACTCTTATGGCCTACTGCTTATCTCAGAGCAGGGATGAAGAAGCTCACAAGATTTTCTTACCTATTCTTTAAAGCCTCCAGTTAGAGTGTCCTGGGATCTCGTTAGGCAGAAGAAATATCTTCCATGGAGCAGCCCAAAAATTCAACGTCAATCTACTCTACAGTGAGAGGAAATATGCATGTCAGGTACCTTCATTCACACATCTTCCATTCCCATATATGATGTTTGCTGTCTCTAGGTTGGGTTCAGAGTAGCCTTACTGAACACTCATCAGCTGATGATCTATTTTTGTTGGTAGACACAATTGGCCACAAGACTTGAAGATGTTTTTAGCTGAGGAATCCATACCAAAAGAAGAGCTTTCTATCCAAAGAGCAATGTGCACTGTCTGTAAAAGCTCAAAAAAAAACAACCCACAGTAAACACAAAGAAGCTGTGTTGTGTTAGCTATTTGATACCTATCATGACCTATCATTAATAAATAAATAAATAAATAAATAAATAAATAAATAAAATGCATGTAGTAGTTACAAAGAGAAGATTTCAAAATAACTTGTGTAGAATGGTCTGTGTTTTTTTGTGCTGGGGGCCCAAACCTGGATGCAGCACTCCAGGTGGGGCCTCACAAGGGGGACAATCACCTCCCTCCCCTGCTGCCACCCCTCTGGTGATGTATCCCAGGACACAGTTGGCCTTCTGGGCTGCATGAACTCACTGCTGGCTCACGTCAAGCCTTTTGTCCACCAGAACCCCCAAGTCCTTCTCTGAAGGGCTGCTCTCAATGCGTTCTTCTCCTAGTCTCTACTTATGTCTGGGGTTGCCCCAACCCAGGTGCAGTACCTTGCACTTGGACTTGTTGAGCCTCATTAGGTTCACATGGACCCACTTCTCAAGCTTGTCCAGTTCCCTTTGGATGGCATCTCTTCCTTCTGTAATGTTTTTTTACTCAGCTCTTGAATCCACATAAGACACCCACAGCAAACTGTGGTGCGGCGTCCCACAGCTCAGCTACACAACCTATAAAGAGCCACCTCTTCCTGAACACTTTGAACTCATCATTTGTTAGCTTCATTTAGTGCCCACTAATCTTTTCTTGGGACAGACAGGCAATAATAATTACTTATGTACCTACTTTTG